TTAAAAGAAATAAGTAAATATCAACAGCTATTATCGTATGAATCGACAATTAGCAGCTCATTATTCACATGCCCATTCTTCACTTGTAATCACAAACAAACACTTATAAAATACACCTAAAAAGACAGAAATAGAAAGTGGAATAAAAATATGGCTGTATTCGTAAAAGTAGGTAACTGACAAACATGTAAGTTCACGACCACACACTTTTTTTTCAACTGGTTATTTTTCAGATACATCTCTTTATCGTTGAACATAAAATGTACACATAATTCGCACTCTTCTATTATAGACTTTTATCTGAATTGGATGTAGAACTGCTGATATTGAAATATTCAAAAGTATATCAGATAACACAAATAAATATATATAATAAGGTTAATAAATTATTACGTAATTCTTGGACACACACTCAACACTGTTGAGTAAATTTGCGAGTGTTAGTTAGGTTTGTTTGTTTGTAATTAACCACAAAGCTACACAATAGGCTACCTGCGCTCTGCCCACCACGGGTATCGAAACCCGGATTCTAGCGTTGTAAGTCCGCAGATACCGCTGTGCCACTGGAGGCGTGTCAGTTAGTGAAAATGAAACCAGCCCAAAGTTTAGTGCAGTATTTTGAAAGTGCGAAAGTCTGGCATCTGGATTTTTTTCTTATTTTAATACGCATTTGTTCGAGCATATTGTACTATTAGCTGAAGGAGGAAAAATATATACATTATTCCTTGACACATTTCGCAAGCAGAGGTTGATCTGCAGTCTGTATTTCTTAACGAATAATGTGTTTATTGCTGTCTTGTTTATACAATGAGGTAAATACACAGGTTAATTCTGAAGCGGAAAGCTACAATTACTATGAGTGGTATTTTCTGCAGTTATATTTATCTTAAAGTAGACTGCTAGAGTAATGAACCGGGAGCTTATCCTTGATTAATGAATTGAAATCTAAATAATGGTTTCCTTGGTAACTTAGGTTTCCTATGTTTACAGACGTTTCGTAACACAAACCAGAATTCATAAGATAAGGGAAAGATATTCATGTTTATGTGACAGAATTTTGAATATATA